ATTGTTGTCAACGAAGCCTTAGTGAAGCTGAAGCCAATGTGTGCGCATGTTTTGGTGGCAAGCTTCAACAACTGCTCCTTTAAAACGAGCTCTGACAACGGCTCAAACCACAACCCTCCCTGCACGACAGCCGCACGCAGGGCGAGTCGGGGGGCGGCTGCTGATCAGGAAGCCACTGTTTGTTCCAACTCCAGGGTTTTCCAGCATTTTTAGGGAACCACAAGATAGAGTGATTTACAGATGCTTAATAAACTCCATGCTGGTTGCCAGGTAGATTTATGTCCTTGGTGTCACAGCAAGGTTTATTGCTTAACTGCCTTGTGGAACATAAAGGGAAATTATTTGGAAAATAAAATCAAGGAAATTGGGACATGTAATCTCTCGTAAAACCCTTTTCCTTACCACTCCAGACTCAGGGCTCTGACATTCTGCTATTGCTTTTTTAATTTGGGAGGCAGAGACACAGACACAGAGGAAGAACCCCCCTGTCCTGGTCCACTCCCCGAATCACGGGAGCTGTGACAGACCAAAGCCTGAGCCAGGAACTCAACCCAGGCTCCCAGGTGGGAGGCGAAGACCCAGGCACTGGAGCCATCCCGCTGCCTCCCTGGGTCTGTGCAAACAGGAAGCTGGAGTTAGGAACCAGAGCCAGGAACTGGACAGAGGCGCTCCAGGGCAGGACCGGGCGTCTCACCCAGGCTAACTGGGAGGACAGAGGCCTGGCCCATGTTGGGCAAACTTACTGAGAAGTAATACTGTCCTTTGAGTCTGCTTCTACACAGCAGACCTAAGTTGGCCTTTTCTGCTCATGCTTCTTAGAAAGGTGCAGCACGTCACCGCGTGGGTGCGGGACCCCGACGACAGCGCTTGATAACGGAGCGCGTGTGCGCGTCTCACTACCAAGGAAGTGGCCTCTCCATAACTCGGGCTTCCTGTGTTCTTGGTGGGCTGATAAAGTAAAAATGCATTTTTATCAGATAAGCACATTAAAAACTTCCCTTGTGATTAAGATGGGGAGAACTGAACACAAACATTTATCTAAGTGTTTTATGGAAAAGCAGTGGCGGTCTGAGGACGGCACGGCCGGGCGCAGCTAGCTGTGGGGGGAGCAGACATTCTCGTTTCTGCGATGGCTCCTGGGGCCATCTCGTGTCTGCTGGGGCCCCTCTCCAGCCAGCCGCTCTGCGAATGCAACCTATGCTCCTAAAAGTAGAATTCCATTCCTCCATCGCTCCTGATTTGAATGGCTCTGACTTGGCTCTCCTGGGCAGTGTGGGTAATGCAATTCAGATTAGCTCAGAGGCTGGTGATGCATGAGGTGCAGTGTGGAGTCCCCGAGGGAGGGACTCGGTGTGGTCGGTGCCCCCGGCACTTCTTTCTTTTTTTTTTTCTTTTTTTTTTTTTTTTTTTGGCCAGACAGAGTTAGTGCGAGAGAGACAGACAGAGAGAAAGGTCTTCCTTCCATTGGTTCACCCCCCAAAAAGGCTGCTGCACAGATCCAAAGCCAGGAGCCAGGTACTTCCTCCTGGTCTCCCATGCGGGTGCAGGGCCCAAGCACTTGGGCCATCCTCCACTGCCTTCCTGGGCCACAGCAGAGAGCTGGCCTGGAAGAGGGGCAACCGAGCACCCCAACCAGGACTAGAACTCGGTGAGCAGGCACTGCAGGCGGAGGATCAGCCTAGCGAGCAGCGCCGACGGCCCTGGCACTTCTTTCTACTGGAGGTTTGCCCAGCACGCCAGGTGATGCCAGGTGACTGAGGAAGTAAGAAGGCAGGTGCTCTAGAGACAGGAGGACACGCCCAGAGCCAGGAGTCAATATCACCGTCACGGATGTTCAAATGGGGGCAAGACGAGAGGGGGAGGGGGAGGGGGAGGGGGAGAGAAAGCAAATGTGGGGCGGGGCTGCTCCGTGGAGGCAGGAGGTGTGCCTGATGGAAAGGGGACGGCCTGGGCTTGGAGGGAAGTGGTGGGGAGGGATCTGCTGGGGCAGGGGTCAGGCCATGTGGCAGGGAGGGACAGAGGCCAGGCCCCGCGGGCACCCCCTGCCAGGCTTTCTGAGCCACTGCTGCCTGGAGCCCAGGTAGCAGCATTGAGTCGCCAGCCGCCGAGGCCAGGTCAGGGGGTCCAGGAGCAGAGAGAGGGCCTGGGGGAAGAAGCAGGAGGCTGAACTTGAGCGGGGCCCGGGAGGCTGGGCGGATTCCACATCACAGAGGAGCGGCGGACGCGGCTTCATGGAAGGGACGGGTGCCTGCATTGCCTGTGTGAAGCGCGGGAGCAAGACCCAGGAGGCTGGGGTGGAGTAAGCTGAAACCCAGCGGCAGCCCGGGATGACCTGTGGCCTCACAGGTCACCTTTGTGCCCTGCCCGCCCCCACTTCGCGGGACCCCTCACTGCTGCACTTTCCCCTGCACCCAGCCCGCTCCACTCTTCCCCTACACGGCCCCTGCTCACTCGCTCACACTCACAGGGAGCCAGGGGACTGGAGTCAGGACCTTTATGATGCTGCTTCCTGGCCCTTCTGGGGTCCCCAGTCATCCGTTCATCACAGAAATTCCCCACCCTCACCTGCACAGGTGCCTGCACTCCTGTGCACAGGCGCCTCCCTGCCCTGGGGCCTCAGAGGCTGCGCCGCATTCTCTGTCCGCCACGATGCACAGCTGACCCCTGGGCCTCTCGGGGCTCGCTCTGGCCAGTCGACGGCCCCGCTTCTCCCGTGGCCTTCAGCTGCCGGAGCACCCAGCAGAACCCCTCCGGCCTGTTTCCGAGCCCACACTGCTTGGCCAGCCAGACCGGAGGCAGCTACCCCAGCGGGGAAGGCCTTCCTTCTACCAGAGCCTTGGCCGCTGCAGCCGGAGCTCACTCATGCGTGTGACTTACAAACTCATTCCGCGTGTGAGAAAAACATCTGCCCTTGGCTTCCCACACAGCGCCGGCAGACGGCTGGAGACGAGTCCCGCAGACTGCAAGTCCCCCTCGTTTGCCTGAGCTCACGATTGCAGAGTTGTCTGATTGAAGGGACCCCACACGGATGTAAATAGCCAAGTAAAGCTCTTATCAGCACGTAAAGACCGCAGGGGCCATCGGCATGGCCCTAACGTCCGGCTGCAGCCGCCAGGGCTGTCTGGGGAGGTGGGGACCGAAGGTTGCGATTGAACGCTGTTCACTGGGCCTGAGAACCTTTCCTTACACACACTGTTAGGCTTTCTCACTCGAAGGAATGTGGAACCTGTAAGGATGTCTGTTTTGGGCAAAACAGCACAGCCTGATGGCGTGGAGAGCAGAGATGTGTCCTTCCACACGCGCCCGTGCAAGTCCGCACACCGGCGCAGGTCACCTTGCTGCTCCTTCGGAAACGGGCAAGATGAGGTCATCCTGGATCAGGCTGGGCTCCAATCCAGTGGATGAGAAGAGGAAATCTGGATGCGAAGACCCAGACACAGGGAAGACGGACAGGAAAGATGGAAGCAGAGACTGATGATCTGTCTCCCAGCCAAGGAGGGCCAGGCAGCACCAGGAGCCACCAGAAGCCAGAGAGAAGCAAGGGACAAGGCCTTCACTTGGGGCCTCCCCAAGGAACCCACCCGTGGACATGGTGATTTTTCCCTCTGGCCTCCGGAAAGCTAGGGAATGAATTAGGATTCTTTTAAGCCACCTTGCTTATTGTGGTTTCTCCCATCAGCTTCAGGGACCTGGGACAGATGGCTGAGGCCACAGCATCTTTGTGGAGGAGCTGGCCCAGAGGCAACCCCCAGCTGCCCTGTGGGATGTGCTTGTGACCACGCTGCCCTGCCGCACAGTGTGTTTCCTATCTGCTGACGGCAGGTGTTTTGCCAAATGCCTTGTATGACAAGGATGAGTCAAGTCCACGCTTTCCAGGGGCTACAGACGAGCCTCCCCAGGGCTCTGGAGGCAGGAAGAGGGGGCCTGCCCGTGGACCGTGGCAGTTACGGGAATTCTATTACAGCACCCTTTTCCTGTCTCCCAGGTCGCCCTTATATGATCCTGCCAGCGTTTGCTAAGCTGCCCGTTATTGAACGTGGTTATTCCCCAGAGGACTTTTACTCGGAATTACAATTTCACCTCCTGGGAGCTAAAACATTTTCCTAGGAAGATCAACCTCATTCCTGCATCCAAAGGAATAAAACAGGGGCATCTCCAGCCCTCCGGAGTTCAGCATTTGGCTTGGCGGGCCGCAAGGATGGCCTTGGATGGCCCTGCTCTCACCCTCGTCTCTCTCTCTCTCTTTTTTTTTTTTTTTTTGACAGGCAGAGTGGATAGTGAGGGAGAGAGACAGAGAGAAAGGTCTTCCTTTGCCGTTGGTTCACCCTCCAATGGACGCCGCGGCCGGTGCACTGCGGCCAGCGCACCGTGCTGATCCGATGGCAGGAGCCAGGTGCTTCTCCTGGTCTCCCATGGGGTGCAGGGCCCAAGCACTTGTCACCCTCTTCTCTTACTGTTGCTCTTGCTCGTTGAACAGTCTGCTCGTCCATGCTGGGCAGCTTGTCCGTGCTGGGGTCAGTTTTGCACCCTGTAGGTGCACCCTGTAGGGTGGCTGGTCCCTGGAAGGTTCCTGACAGCCCCTTCTCCTGGGAGTGAGTGTACGCCCTCCCTCTCGGGGTCCCCTTGATTCTGGCCTCAGAGTGCCCAGCAAGAGGGCCAGCAGGAAATGCATCGCAAGATAACCAATGCTGGCGCAGACAGACCGAAGTCAACCTCCCGCCCCGAGATCGGTTGCACAATCTACAAAGGGCAAAGGGGATCTCTTGCAAAGATCTGCTAGCAGCCAAGAATTTGAACTTGCTGCCCTTGCATTCAAGTTATTTATGCTGAGTTATGTGCCCATATGTAAACCCTCAGAATGGCCTGGCTCCCGGACCAGACGTGGTGATGCTGAGGTTGGCTCTGTGTGTAGCAGTAGCAACCCTGGGGCAAAGGCCCCAGCCCCGAGGACCCCCAGTCACCTCCAGTCCTCCCAGTGCCCCCCAGCCCCGGCAGCTCACCGCTAAGAGGATGGGGGACCGTGAACTGCTTCTTGTTGGCACGGACGGGAAGGAGGCTCTGCTGGCCCAGCCCCTCCTTCTGCTTTGCTTTCCTCTGCTGCACCATGCGTTCCAGCTTCTTCAGCCGCTCTTGAGAGCGAGAGATGAACTGAGGCTTCCGGACCTCCAGTGCTTCCTAAAAGGAGCAAGGAAAACACTTTGGGTTCAGGAGGAAGGAACAAATCTGTCTGACTGGGCCAAGAGAAGCCGATCCAAAGTGCCTCATGCAGGGGCCAGCACACTGGAGTGCCCGTGCAGGCCCCAGCCGCTCTGCTCCCAGTCCAGCACCCTGCTCATGTGCGGGGAAGGCAGTAGAAGACGGCCCAAGCCTTTGGCTTCTGCCACCCATGTGGGAGACCCAGATGCAGCTCCAGGCTCCTGGCTTTGACGTGGCCCAGCCCCAGCCATTGGGGATATTTGGGGAGTGGACAAGTGGATGAAAGATCAATCTCTCTTTCTCTCTCTCTCTCTCTCTCTCTCTCTCTCTCTCTCTCTCCCCTTCTCAATTAAATAATTCTTTTATTTATTTTTTTTTTGACAGGCAGAGTGGACAGTGAGAGAGAGAGAGAGACAGAGAGAAAGGTCTTCCATTGCCGTTGGTTCACCCTCCAATGGCCGCCGCGGCCGGCGCGCTGCGGCCGGTGCACCGCGCTGATCCGATGGCAGGAGCCAGGAGCCAGGTGCTTTTCCTGGTCTCCCATGGGGTGCAGGGCCCAAGCACCTGGGCCATCCTCCACTGCACTCCCTGGCCACAACAGAGGGCTGGCCTGGAAGAGGGGCAACCGGGACAGAATCCGGCGCCCCGACCGGGACTAGAACCCGGTGTGCCGGCGCCGCTAGGCGGAGGATTTGCCTAGTGAGCCGCGGCGCCAGCCCAATTCTTTTATTTTTTTAAAGGGGCCACATCAAGAGATCAAAAACCACAGTGCAAAAGCTGGTCATGATTTTCTCCCATGACCTTGGGCAAAAGGAAGGCAGTGACAAGTGGTCAGTCTGCCTCCAAGGGCCCTCTGCAGCAGGGCCAGCCAGGAGCTGCATAGACTGAGATTGCGAAGGCAAAGGGTGCATCTGCCTGTCCATCCTGCTGCCCAAAGCTGAGCACTGGTGTTCTGCACTCCGGAGCCACGGGCTGGAAGGACCGCAGGCACCACGGGGCACAGGCGCCTGCAGGTGAGCCTTAGCAACAGCAAGAGGAAGGTGCCTTCTCGGGGGAAATCTAACTCTGGAAGATTTCCTGGGTAGACGAGGCTGGGAGGAAGTCTCTGGGCAGCATGGTGCTGTGAGCCCCAGGACAGGTCAGCGCCCCCCATGCCTCCCCTCACCCGCCGCCATGCACCTGCCTCCCCTCACCCAGCGCCATGTACCCGCCTCCCCTCACCCGTCTCCATGCACCCGCCTCCCCTCACCCGTCTCCATGCACCCGCCTCCCCTCACCCGTCTCCATGCACCCACCTCCCCTCATCCGCCTCCCCTTACCTGCCTCCCCTCACCCACCTCCCCTCACCCGCCGCCATGCCTCTGACATGGGTCAAAGTCAAGAGCTCAGCTGCCAGCCTGCCCCACGCTCTAAGTGCAACCATTGCCTCCTAGAATCCCCACATCGTTCTGCAAGTCACAAGTATTCATTCCCATTTGACAGATGCAAAAACTGAGACTTGGGGCTAGTTTGGTAGACCACAGGGAGACACTAAGCTATCTACCTTCTGTGCCCATAATTGACTATTCTTCGAACATCTCTGCAGCGCCACCCACGGCCACAGCAGTAGGCTCATCTCGCTCTGCGCAGCAAGCCCTCCTGGGTCACGTGGTGCAGCCTGGGCGTTATGGTGCTCCGCAGACCACAGGAAAGATTTGCACACTCAGGTCTCCACGTGTGGCTGTGGGCCCTGGGGGGAAGGGGCCCGGTCTCACGGCCACTGCCTGAGCTCTGCACACGGTGGGTGCTCCGTTAAAGGCTCACTGGGCAGAAATGTCCCTCTGTCCCCGTCTCCTCCCGGCCTCTGGGGGCTCCGAGTTCCCAGGGGAAGGGTGGCGTGAGCCTCGTGTGTGTCACGCATGTGCCTTACTGCCGTGCTGGGGAGGCAGTCACTCAGCTGGCTCCCTCCAGGGTGCCAACCACCAGCCACCAGGCCCCACGAGGCACGAGTCACTGGGTGTGCTCCAGGCTTGGATAGATGGCCTCTGGGATGGGCTGCTGGCCCCACGCAGCTTCTCCCTCAGCTGTCCCCTGCTTGCGTCTGGCCCCGGAGGCTCGAGTCCCTTTGGGGGCACTGGGAGTGTCTCACTGGAACCTGCGAAGGCCCCAGGGTGCAGGAGTGGCAGCAGAGCCAGCTCCATGCTTGCAGGGAGGTTTACAAGGCAGCAAGAAGGCGTGGCTGGCTGTGCCATGGGCTGCTGGCAGGAGCTGTGTACCTCTCCCTGCTACAGTGCAAGACACAGAAGGAAACCTTGCACAGCCTTCAACCTAAGGCTGCGGGACGTCGGGCAATGGCCTTAACCTTCCGAAGCCTCCGTGTCCCTGTCTGAAGAGGGGCTCACACAGCGCTTTGCCTCCCTGGGATCCTGCCAGGCTCAAAGGTGCTGATGTTGATGAGCTGACCGGGTAGTTCCTGGGCATCTGTTGGTTGTCACCTCTGGCTTTCTATCCTCATCCTAGCCTGGCGCAGTCAGCGTCATGACCACCAGCACTCAAACGCGGCAGGGCGGGCCTGCTCCGAGTCAGAATGAGAGTCCGTTTCCAGCCTCACAGGCGGCAGTGGGGTCGGGCACCCACAGACTCCCCAGCAAGGGTCTCCCCCGGCAGGAATCCAGCCACGATGGACCCAGGCCTCACCTGCAGGGTCAAGGAGCCGGCAGGTGTTTGCTGAGCCCTGAGATAGCTTTCTGACAGGTCCGGGGCATCGGGTCCCTCGGGGGGAGGTGGCGAGGGTGGCGGCGGCAGTGAGGGCTCAGGTGCGGTGGCATTGTCACTCTTCTTACATCCCTTTATTTTCAAAACCAAGTCACAGCACGTGTAGTCCCCTAGGAGAGAAGGGTTGGGTCGCACGTGAGACACAGCAGGTAGTTTTGCAAATGCAGACACCAGTGTGTTACCGATGAGCCTCGTGATGCTGAAGACATCATGGTGCATGCCAGACGCTGCAGCTGCCCTGGCCACACGGGACAGCACTAACAGCCGCCTGGCCTCACGGAGGCCCGACTGGGCTCTGGGGTCTGCGCCGCTCTGCCCAGGTGAGCAGCCCTCCCACATTTGCCTCGCCTGCAGCGTGCCCTGAGCGGTTATCAGAGCTGTGGTCTTCGGGGTGTGGTGCTTTCTGTGCCCTGTGTGCCACACTGAGGATACAAGGACGGGGTGGAGCTCAGTGGTTTGTCCCTCCCCCTAACTTCCCGGAGACTTCAGGGCTGCAGAGGGAGGGAGAGCGACTGCTCTCTCTCCTCTCTCTCTGCACTGGTTTTGGCCTCTTCCTGGGGCCAAACTGACTTTCCTTTGTGTAAAAGATCAGGAGATGAGGGGATTCCTCAGGGCAGGGCAGACTCTGGGGCAGCAGAAGGGACTAATAACCATTGGGTAGATATTTATAACTACATTAATTATTAATGTTTATAATTATTAATTATGTAAACATGAATATAGAACAGAAGCCACGCATTCGGCCTCTCCCAGGCTGCGCTCCCTGTCCGAGCCCCTGGCTTTCCTCACTGCACCTCTAGCACAGCTGTGGCCTCAGCCATGCCTGCAGCAGGGACCTCAGCAGCATCGTCCTCACTCCTGCCCTGCAGGGGGCCATCCCCACCAAGCCCTTTGCCTCCTCCCCCCTGGAGTCTCCCACCTCCGGGTGGGTCCCAACCTCGGGACACCTCCCACGCTTCCTGAAGCAGCACCCACCCTGCTTCCAACACGGCCCCACAGGGGAGCACCCCACTCGCAGTCAGCTGCCAAGGGGTTGGGGTGGGCAGACGCTTGGCCCTGACGAGCCTGCGACTCCCTCCAGGGCTGAGCCACGTCATTCTCCCACCGTGTCCTCACGGCACCAGCCAGGGCCCTGGCTCTGCAGGGCTTAGGGTGGCCAGCAGGAGTCTACGTGGCCATGAGACGCAGCTCCATGCCCTGTGAACCTCTTACCCAAGCCCCGTGTCACTGCCCAAGCCTGGCTCCTCTCTGTCTGGGCCAGCCATCCCAGCTCTTCTCAAAGCCACCCGGACCCCCTTACTGCCTGCAGGTTCAAGCTGAGCAGACGTTTTATGGCTTGCTGATGGGAGTGTCCTAAGGCCTACTGGACAGAGTCTTGTTGGGAGCAGCAAGGAAGATGGGTGTGTTAGGGCTGGGCTGCTGGTCTGGTGATGGGGAGAGTAGGGGAGCAGGGTGCAGCGGAAGTGTGGCTCCCTGGACCTAACGTCACCTAGAGAAAACATGCACAAGGCCACACAGAGGCAGTGAGGAGGAGGCAGAGCGCGTCTGCAGGAGTGGACGGGGGGCAGCAAGGATGCCCTCCAGGAGAACGAATGCTTGCTAAAGTGACAGAGAATGACAGGTGAGCCCCCAGGTAGGGTGGATTCGGCAGAGAACCATTTCCTCCAAGTGTCAGGGGCCGTCCTCAGCGTCTCGGTGGCCCGGCACAGTGCCTCGTGAGCCCAGCAAGGTCCAGGGGGTGCGCTGTGCTCGTGCCTGTGAGGTGTCAGGCCCAGGTGAGAGCTACGCCCCTCAGATGCTACCCCTGCTAGGCAGAGCAGGGCCCACGGTCAGCCTGGTGCACCTGCTGCCTTCAGCATAGCCAGGCTGCTGTGGAAGCCTTCCTCAGCTGAGCCAGGAGGCTCTGCGGTCCTCCTCGGTCTCCGTGGTGCCGGCCTTGGGCAGCGAGGCCAGCCGGGCCAGCGCTAGGAACCTCTGACACACGGGACTGCCCACTATTTGCACCTGCTGGTCTTGCCTCTCTGCAAGGGGCAGCTTTGCAAGGTGAGCATCTATGAACCAGGCCCGGGGAGTCACCCTACCGCTCTCCGTGCGACTCCAGCTGAGGGCCATCCGTACCCGCCACCCTTGCTCCTTACCTGTGGGGAACTCTCTCTCTATCTGAACACCATTGTCTTCCTGCAGAGATGTGCACACATCGTGAAAGGGGCAAAGGAACCGAGGCAAAGGGATTGTGGAGTTCAGGAAGGGCTGGTGGCGTCTGGCCGTGGGCTCAGAAAGGTCGTGGCTCAGAGAGCCGTCCCCTTCCAGCTGCTGTTCCACTGGGGGAGCAGACAGAGTCACGCGCGCTTCTTGCTGCTCCTCGCTCCTTCCAGAGAACACTTTTGTTTCGACTAGAAATAAAATGAGAGTTGTGCTCAAGACATCTGAGGAGCCTCCCTCTGATGCACCGACTTCCGCACTTGGGGGTCTGCTGGAGTCAGGCTCGGGGGCCACAGCTCGGCCTCGGGGCAACACGGGTGGCCTGTGCCTAGCACCTGAGCTCTAGAAACTTCTAACGCCTGATCAGCATTCCAGTAAGGCTTTTCCTTAGCACAGCTGGGAGCTCCATTCGTGTACACTGCTATCCTGTGTCTGTGCAGAGCCTGCACACAGCGGTCCCCTCACCCTAGACACTCACGTTGCACCCTCTGCAGGGCTGATACAATGGGTGGCTTCACACCTTCACTCTGGGACCAGAGGTAGCTGGGTTCACCCCCAACCCCTGCCATGGTCAAGCTTCCCAGCCTCATCTATAACATTGAGGCCAGGTGGTAACGTCATGAGTTAATATCAAATATTATTAAGTTACTATATCATTAGACTTTATGTAATATATGTATATATTTATAAAACAAATAATATATTTATAGAATTTCCATCATTAGACTTTTATGCAATAACATATTGATATTAAATTGGATTTGAAATATTAAAGTTGAAATAATAATAAGGTATGTCAAGTGTTTCACACAGGCCCTGATACGAGCAAGCATTTAATCACTGCTGGTGATCATTATCATCGCAGAAACACTGGTGCCAAGTTTTGCATTATGGGAAGTGCAGAGGCGGGAAGCAGTTTGTCAGGTCAGTGTGGCTCCCTCTAAGAAAGCAAAGAACCCAAAGACAGGCACGCGTTGCTTGTCCACAGGGCAACATCAAAGTCCTGGAAAGCACTTTATGTCTATCAGTAGGGACTAGTTAAATAAATCACATGCATCCAACCCTCACGGAGGCTGAGAGCAATGAGGCAGATGTGCCCTGGGGTAATCTCCGAGTCTCATTGTTAAGGGAACACTGCAAACGCAGGAGCGTGCAGGGGCACTTCCGGCCCACACTTGTACAAGTGGAGCATCCCCGGAAGGCGGCGGAAGAAGCAGGGAGCCGCGGTGCCTCTACGTCTGCAGGTGCAGCAGCTGGGCCTGGAACAGCGGCTTCCTGCTCATGGCTCCTCCTGTAGCTACTGGACCTCTCAAACGTCTTTTCCTTCAGAATGCCAGAAATGTTCAGAAGAGGACTACTTTTTCACAAGGCAGTGATGTCAGCGGGGTCATCCCCATGCTGATGCCCCCCCCCAAGGACGGTATGGCCCACCTGGGGTGAGAGCCACCGCTGCCAGTGTCCTAGCCTTCACAAGGTGGGGCAGGAGAGATTGGGAACAGCTGGAGTGTAAGAGCTGTCAGAGAGTCTCCCCCTGTTTTCTGAAATGGCTCATCTACAAAAACGAGCTCATCCCAAGACCATCTGCTCTGCTCACACACCAACCTCTCGCAGCAATGCCCTAGTGTCCGCATCTCATGTCCCTCTGACCCCAGGCCCCTAGTGTCCCAACCAACGAGAACAGACGGACCGTGAGACTGGGTGTGCAGTGCCATGGGCAGAACAAAGCATTTAGGGCACAGGGTCCCCCCAAGTATCTCCAGGGCCACGGGACCTAGCCCAGGTTGGGCGATTTGGTAACCATCAACTTCCTTATTCTCCAAAGAGATAAACTCAGTTTCCATGTTCTCATCAAGCAGTGAAATGTAATTACACACAAGTACCACCGGGTCTCCATGCTTGGTGCACAGAGCCACTAAATACTGTGGCGGCTGTTCAAGCCCTGGCCACTGGAGAGACTTGCCCACCTGCTATGAAGTTGTGCTTCACTGAGCTCTGCAGGAAAATCTTACCCCAAATCTTATTTAAAGAACTATCCATTCTGCAGAAGTATAAAAGATTATGGGTAGAAGTAGTCCTAAATAGCCATTGCTTGATTAGATGCTCTCTTACAGAATCAAAGCCCACGATGCAGCCTCACTCTGCCGGATCCTCTAATCCTGGCATCAGGCTCCTGAAGGGCAGGCTTTGATACACAGAGGCACGGAATCAGGCAGCCTGTCTCTTAGCCCATCACCTATCTTTCCATCTATTATCTCTCTGATTTAATGTAAGTTTTTAGGCGAATGAACCTGGGTAAGTTGGAGGTACCTCTTGACTTGGAAGAATGAAAACAATAGGTAAGTTGAATGTTGCACTGAGACTCGAAAGAGTCGGGACAGCCCCCAGAGAGGAGCGGGCCATGGAGCAAGGGGAACTCTGCAGCCAGAGAGGGACGTCTGGACAACTGATGGATCCGCTCACTTCTGAAAGGTACAACCAGCAGTTGGGAAGTTGCCCTGGGCTGCCCTCGGTGGGACAAGGCAGCCCACGGCCCCTCTGCCCCAGCCACCAGGCAGGTACTTTGGGTACTTGCCTGCCCTGCCGTGGGGTCATCACCGTGTTTAGCACACGGCCGGCTGCTCTCTTGTCCACAGTCATATCCCATGAACTTCTTGGCAAGCTGTGGCCCAGCCAGTCTGCCCAACTCTCTCCTGAAGCTTTTAGCTAACGGATGCAATGATGCCTTTACTTAGCTTTGTGCTTGCTTGTCTGAATTCTGGCATTGAAGATATATTGGTTAAGGAGACCGACACAGGTGGGAAAATCAGGAATAAAAGCAACGAATAAAGTGCACACAATGCAGTGAGCGGCCGTGTCGGGTGGGATGTGGGTGGATGTCAGCCAGGAAGGCTCAGGGACGTTGTCTGAAAACCTGAGAACGTCCCGCTTCTTCACCCGGGAGGTAGCAGAGTGGGTGCTCTGGTCAGCATCTTTAACTGTGAACGCGAGTCATCTAACAGTGAAAATGAACTTGAGAAAAGCATAATTTCCCAAGGGGCCTTTCCACAAGTCAAGGTTAGAACATACAAGAACACACATGCACACAGGAACACAATACAGGAATACACACAGAGAACACACAGGAAGACACAGACATGAACACATGAACAGGCACACATACACAAGGACTCACATAGGAGCACACACACATACATACACAGTGACACACACAGGAACACGCACGCACACAGAAACACACATACTGGAACACACTTAGTGGAACACATACATGCACACAAGAATTCAGACACAGGAACACACCTGTAACAAGAACACACAAAGAACAGGAACATGCACACACACACAGGAACGTGCACACGTCTGCTTGCCAACAGAACCACCTCCACAACACTGCAGGTGGTCAGCAGGTGACGTGAGCTGGGGGAGGATGAGGGCGTGTATTTCTGCCTCCACGCAGGAAGCGGAGTCCCCGTGGTTGCTTTCCCACAATCCTTTATCCCAGCCTGACTCACTCCTGCAAGATGCAGAAGAACATCTGAGCTTTCCTTAAAACGCTTGTTGCAAAAGCTCCCCAAAGTGACCATTACATTTTTCATGAAGACATGTTTCCATCAAAAAACGTTTTCTAAAAAAATGCACAGTGTGGGGTTCCAAGATGGCTGAATAGGGAAAAGACGTATTGATTTTGATCATGGGAAGAAACCAGAAAAACAGGGGGGATCTGCGTCCTAGGAGGGAGCTGGAGAGAAGTCTGCAGTGCAGAGTCCACAGAAAGAGGAGAGGTTCTGGGACAGCAAAGCCAGGACAGACACACAGGGCTTGCAGGACCCACGAGACGCTGGCAGCCAGCAGCTGGCGGGAAAGCCTTCTCCCCTGAGCAAGGAGAGAGGAGGCTGCAGAAGCCCTTGCCCCACTGGTGACCTTGCCTGGGGGAGAGCCTCGTGGTCCCCACCGACTTGGAGTCCAAGCTGGCAGAGGGCACTTAACTCTGGGGAGTTAACTCTGGGAATGGAGGGCACATTGCGCCCCTCTCCTCCCCCCAGCAAGGAGCCCAGTGACCAATGCGGGAAGCACCATTCTCATACAATAAGGTGGGTGGAGCCTGGCCTGAAGAGCTGGCACGGACAGGGCACACATTTGACACAATGCTCCCCTCCTCTCCTCCCACCAAAGCTCCGGACTCAACTTACCGGGGTGGGGCACTGACCGGCCTCTGCCAGGCAGGCAGCCGGCTCTAGGGACGGTGGTTCCGCAGGCTAGGAAGCCTATCAGGGTGTGGGATGTGCCTGGGTCTTTGGGAAATCACGGAGCTGACTCCAGAAGCTCAAATTCCTGGAGCGCTGGGAATGGACATGGTGGAGGGTTCCATGCTCACACTATGGAGTGTGTACATAGTGTGCACTCCACTCTACGGAGTGTGTACATAGTGTGCACTCCACTCTATGGAGTGTGCACATAGTGTGCTCGCCACACTATGGAGTGTGTACATAGTGTGTACTCCACTCTACTGAGTGTGTACATAGTGTGTACTCCACACTACGGAGTGTGTACATAGTGTGCACTCCACTCTACAAAGTGTGTACATAGTGTGCACTCCACTCTACGGAGTGTGTACATAGTGTGCACTCCACTCTATGGAGTGTGCACATAGTGTGCTCGCCACACTATGGAGTGTGTACATAGTGTGTACTCCACTCTACGGAGTGTGTACATAGTGTGTACTCCACACTACGGAGTGTGTACATAGTGTGCACTCCACTCTACAAAGTGTGTACATAGTGTGCACTCCACTCTACGGAGTGTGTACATAGTGTGTACTCCACTCTACGGAGTGTGTACATAGTGTGCACTCCACACTACGGAGTGTGTACATAGTGTGCACTCCACACTACGGAGTGTGTACATAGTGTGTACTCCACTCTACGGAGTGTGTACATAGTGTGTACTCCACTCTACGGAGTGTGTACATAGTGTGCACTCCACACTACGGAGTGTGTACATAGTGTGCACTCCACTCTATGGAGTGTGTACATAGTGTGCTCTCCACACTACGGAGTGTGTACATAGTGTGCACTCCACACTACGGAGTGTGTACATAGTGTGTACTGTCGCTCCCCCTCTTCATGGAGGAACGACACTAAACCCTGCCTAGGCTTCATATCCGAGTCACGGCACCATTATGTCGCTCCCC